AACAGAAAAGTAATCCAAATTATCCATTTAGCATTTTGTTTACTTTTGACTTTATTGAAATGAATTCCTTGAAAAATATTTACTGCTCGTTCAACAGCTATCCAAGCACATAGCCAATCATTAATGCTGAGTAGACATCGAAGAAGAAAATCAATACACATACATTGAATATACATGAACATACGATTTTTTATTGAACCAATTTGTAACATTAAGAGCAACCAGACTTTAAATATTAATATACACAACATAATTATTGATGTGATGGAGGATACAAATAAATAGATACCACAGCCAACAGTTCGAGAATTTTTTCTTTGAAAAGTTAGAAATGAGAGAAGACTATTTATGATACCTAATATGAATATGAACACGGTTGCAGCAAGTACGATTTTGACAACGTATGGTTGTCTACTAATGTTAACATTAGGACGAATTTGATATCCAAATATTGTATCTAATGAAAGAATTGATCCTTTAGTTGAAAATTGACATCTTGAACCATAATAACAATCTTGACAAACGCACACTGTCGATGTTGGACATTTTGGAACATCTGAAAAACAATGACCTCCATTTTCACATAAATTATATCCTCGACAATCATAAGTCATATTATGATCGAATTCGAAACAATTACTTCGTCGAAAAACATCGCATAAACACAAATGAATATCGTCATAGAAACAAACAAGATCAAGTTGCGTTTGACATGGAATATGATAGTATTTAATGCGTCGTAATAAATGTTGATTAACAAGTGTTTTATTAAATAATTCATGAATAGAGAGACATCGATGAGATGGCATAATTTGCGTAGATATAACGGCTGAAACAATGATTTGTTCTCTGAGAATAATTAAATAATAATTATTGAATATTTCTGCAAAAGCGATATGAAATTGAATTAATGTATAAAGTGTCACTGTATGTTGATCCCATGAAATTTTTTTCATTATACTTGATCGGATTGGATGTGCTTGATTTGAAACTGTGATGAAATGCACAAGTAATGATGATGGACTTATTAATTCATTATGAAATGAAATATCAATTCGAGTCTGTTGATGTTCACATTGATTACCAAAATATTCTTCAGAACAAATACACATAGATTTGTTTATTTGTGTTGATATATAACGCTCATCACTAGGTACACATTGACCATTATTGATACATGGTTTCAATTGGCATGACGATTGATATAGATAACATCGAGAACCAAATCGTCCAAGAGGACAAACACAAATAGATCTATCAATACAAAGTGAATTATTTGCACAATCACACTTGTATTCTATATTACATTGAACACCTGACCATCCCGAGTTACATCGACAAAATTTTGAATTTTGATCATTGATATAATTGTAGCATTGACCATGAATACATGATTGTGTACATGTTTGAATTGGTTCGACATCTAAAATGGGTACTATGAGTAGAACCGATAGACGATGAACTGGTAGAAATGAAAATTCAAGTGGAAAAATCCAACTAGCTCGATATTTTAATGATAATTTATTGTATGCATGAATTCGAATAAAGTAATTTTTTGATATATTTTTTGGTCGAGTTGAATATAATAAATAGACATTAAATTTCGTATCACAATCTCGAATAGGTAAATATTCAATATGATCATGTGATTGAATGATTTCATTATCATCAATTAGAATTATAATAAAACTAAATACTTGACGCCAATCTGATGTAGCTCGTACTTGAATTGTAAGACTAACACGTTGATTTTGATATTGACATAAGTTTCCATAGTAACTCGGTGGACAAAAACAATACGTTTTATTATCAATATCATCCATTCTAATACGTATTGGAAGTCCACGATTACATTGCCATTTATCCACTAGACTAAGACTGACTAATGGATCAGTTCGAACTGATTGTGTTGTTGTTTGCATAGATGGTTCTGATGAAACTCGATCCGTTATGGATTGTTTTGAATAAATCGGCATGCTAACTAGTTTGAAGTAGGTGGCGTTTGATCGTTTCACAATCTCAAAATTATAACAAAAGAAACTTTCGACTTTATTTCGAAGGAATGATTCCAAACCATAACAAATTAAACGAGTAAAATTTCTATGGGGCGTACAAAATGTTTCATCGTCACCAAATGGGCATTGTGTATTTCGATCACAAAACTCGTCTGCTTTAATAAACTTTGAATCATTCCAACATTTGAACAGATACTGGAAACTACACACATCATCGTATATATTAAGATATCTTTCATCTGTCGCACCTATACAATGAATAATATTATCATCCACCTGATGGATTGGTAAACATGATACTTTAGATGTATCATTTGGAAAGACACAACTATGTTCATATTCAGAACAATTAGAAGATGGACAATTGATTTCATCAGCACCATTTTTACACAACCAAAATCGATCACATCTACTATAGGTATTGTTGCATAACCAAGAATCACATTCTGTTTCATCAGTTTGATATTGTCCATCGATAAGTACTGGTAATAAGTCTATTTTACCATCGCATATTGTTTGAAAATAAATATGTTTTTCTATTAGTTTTTCTTCATGTCCACGTTCGTCTTCACCATTATCACAATCTATTTTTCCATTTTTTATGATTAATGGTGCTAAACATGTTCTATAGGATTCAATGGAACACGAAAAACGACGACCAACATCAGGCAAAGAGCAATTTTCAGTAAATGTTTCATCATCATTTAATGGACAATCTTGAATTCTATCAAGTAGACGATATTTTGAAATACATTTTGTTGAATTTTTACATTGATACATATTTGAATGATTGCAATAATGTGTTTCATTTAGTACTATTAAACATGTGCGAAATAGATTATTAATATTTTCCAAGAGCGAAAAAAATGTGTTCACTTTATTAAATTCTAATTCATGAAAATAACGACAAGATGAACTGTTCAAATCGATTGTAGCTGGAAGAAAATCTCGACAAAGTTTTTCATCATAGCATACATAAATAGGTAATGAGATATGATGGGGTTCTATAGTAAATTGACTACTATTGAACAAAAGTTGAACATGTCTAAATAAACTTAGAGTAGAAAAATTCAATAATGGTGAACAATATTCTTCGACACAATCGATTTCACTACAAAATTCTTGACACCACATATTGTCATAGGAATTATAAAATTCTATACGACAATGAGCAGCATTTGAACATGAATTATTAACCAGATTATTATCACGACCATTCTGACATGTTAAATCGAATTTTGTTGAACATTGTCCATCACCACATGGAAATTCATCGATTCCTGGTCGACATGTATGTTCTTCACATCGAAAAGTAGGATCACGGTGACAAAGATCAGGATAATACGCAACTCTAGGCTCATCTGTTCGATCTAAACAATCTGGATTGAGTGAAATATCATGAAAAAATTCTATTGGAATACATTGACCATTATGACATCGATATTCATTATCAGTACATTCATTCAGTTCAAGTTGCCAACAATGAAATTCGTCTGATCCATCAAGACAATCGATTTTTCTGTCACAAATTTCACGCCAATCCAAACATAATAATGATGTTTCACAAGTAGGAAGATATTTATAACAAGTTATTTTCGCACCAGTCTTAATTTGTGGTTTCGAATGAAAATAGATTGTAACAAATTCATTAAATGATTTTTCTGTAATTGAATCGAATGTAAAACGACAGTTAGGTCCGAACCATGGTATGGTACAGTTGTCAAAGAACATTTCTTTATAGGATAATGATATATTTGAAATATTTCTTAAAAATATTTCATAGTTTTCGGCTAGATTAATAGGTGCTGACCAAGAGAGCAACAGTTGACTACTAATATTTTTTAATTGTAATTCCTCGAACGTAATTCTTTTTTTAATTTCATCGTTTCTCATGGTTAAATTCTCTAGTGAGTGTCGAAAACAATATGGAATAATCTGATGTATGTTTGCTGGCGGTTCTAAAGCATCATCAAACTGATCATTTACATAATATAAAAGGCAATATCCATCTTGATGATAATCATTATCATGAGTATAGTACATATTTAATTGATATTGTGCTAATATTTGCATCATCAGCCAAATATTCGAGATGATTTGTAGTAACATCTTTACAATATATAGTGTAGATGAAGAAAACACATATACGAACAATATTTAATTTATTTCTAGAGTGACATTACTACTGAACAGGTGTATGAAGAAAAATGAATGAGCTCGTTCATAAATTAAAAGGGTAACATATGATCAAATACAAGTGTGAATTCTATCAGCACCTTATCTTATGTATATATGAGGATTGCTTTTTTCTGATCAAATATATCGTTGAGTATTTGATAGATGTAACATAAAATAATACTCAAAATTTTTTATAGACCTCTTTCCAATGGAAATGTAAGAATAAATATGTATAATAAAGGGAGGATTAGGACTAATTCACATTCAAATTCTATTTGAGTGGCTCAGTTTGGAACACATATTTAAAAAAAACCAAATTAGTTATATCTAAGTTGGTTTCGATTCAAAATTGTTTTAAGTAGTATTCAAGTTGCTCTCTTGATCAAACATATCGATGTGAATTAGTAGTGTCAAACTCGAAACTTGAATCCAATTGAATAGATCTTCGGGAAACGTCTCGCGCCCCCACACCGCGACACTCATATAAAAGGTCAATTAGACTGGGAAAAGCGCTTACTCTCTCAGTGAACATTCGAAGAATTATTCAAGAGTTCAATTCAACTTTCAGGATTGACAAGTATCGTCACACCGACACAAGATTTTCAAAACTTGAAATTTCTATTGCATTCAAGTTTCAATTGTAACATGCATGGAAAGAATTAGGACTCTATTGAATGTTTAATTTCTCTGTAATGATAGCTGATCACTACTCTTCATATTTATTTCTATTGGAATGTATTCCTCTGTGATTTTATATACGACTGTTATTCATTTATTGCTATTAGATAGAACTCAATTGGTTTTTTGTTAATATTGTTTTGTTTCTTCATTAAAACTTATCTAATAAAAAATCTATTATATTTTGATTTCTAATTTCATTATTATTAGTTTTCACATAGTTTTAGTAAAATATATAAAAATCCAAAGAAAATGAATGAAAATGTCTGAAATATATTTCCATTGGATGTTACTTGTGTTGCTGAATAATCATGATAAGTAAGATATAATTGATTAATTGTTGTTGCAGGGGATGCATTAGTACAATATGGTACTGCACAATTATGCATTACATCATAAACATCATTTTGAACAATTGAAGATTGTTCTGTTATATATTGTCGTTTAGCAGGATTAATTGCTGAATTAGATGTAGAACAAAAAAAAATTGTTTTTTTAATAGAAAACTAAAAAGTTTTAATTAATTTTACCTGGTTGTTCTGAAAGGAGCCATCCGAAAAGAGCAAGCATAGGTAGAAGAAGAAGAAGAAAAGTCAATATCCAACAATAAAGTGGACAACCATAGAATAATTCACAAAAATAGCATGATGGACATGATGAAGCAAGACGACCACGAGCACAACATTGACAATATCGATAAACAGAAGAGTTCTTAAATCAAAATAAAATTTTTTTATTCTTTTCTTTCTTATTTCATGAATGTATCAATTAACTAGACATCAGTAGAACTAACATCGAGATCATCTTGCCCATATCTACTATTAACTCTTTATTTTCAAATGACCATTGGTGTAAACATTAGTAAAAACTTCATTGAAAAATACCAAATTCTACTTTTAATTACATGACTGTTAAAACTAATTATTTTTTAAAATATTCTCATCTTTTCTTTTATTATATTAGCCAAAACACAAAACAAGATACTAATATTGTCTACTCTCCTATCTTCCAATCGTTCTAAGTATGTGAAGGAGACCAATACTGTATTTATTTGGTTATTGTATCAGTGACTCTTCTGAAATCTTCATTAAGGTTAACGAGTTAATTTCTGAAGTCCTTTTTCTTTTAATATTCTAAGAACAAATAAATCCCTTTTTGTCTATATATCGAATCAAACATGATTGAATATTTTTGTCTTATCTACCCAAACATTACTACGTATGACATGGGTATGATATCCATTATTTAAACATTCATAAAATCTAAACAATCTATATCATAGAAATGAGAAGCCCTCAATTGATAGGAAAGGGTTCGCATTATACATGTTTCATTAGTTTTTGAATTGTACATAAGCTTTTAGAATGACGTCGTCTAACAGAACTACATTGGCATATTTGGTTTATCGATAACTATCAAAGTTGTCATACAGTTTGAAAACTCCAATTTATCAAAATCTTGTACATTCCTATACTTCTAAACGAATCAAATCATAGCTACAACACAAAAATGTCGACTTCAATTATAGTCTACCTTCAAACTTTTGAGTTGAAAAACAAATTAGAAGCCCAGTAGGCTACTATTCTGTGTATATGGAAGGAGTTACTAATTACTTTAGACGAAAGAAATGTATTGACAATCACATAGTGATTTTTATGATTGGTTCTGTTTATGTTGTATAGAACCAAATCAGGAAGGACATTGACATCATCCTTGAAAATTGTCATGTATAGACGAGTCTTCCAGATCTCAATTGAGTAAGCAAGAAACGTATGGAAATTGTCGGACTATGTATATTCTGCTCTTAATTGAAAAGATTTTCTTCACTTGAAATTATTTTTCAAGCTCAATTTACATTAACTTTGTTTTTTTTTCTAATTCAATTCTGAAAATAATCTTCATTTTGTTCAAACAATAATGATTAAAGTCGGAACCATTGTTCATAAAAAAAAAACTCTTACTGATTGGTTAAGTAAAATTTCTGTATCAGGATAATATCTCGTTTGATACTTGTTAATTCGTTGAGGATAATTCAATAATGATTGTTTACTTGGGTGTGAATCGAGTACGACGACTAAAAAAATATTTTTTGAAATTTCTTCATTAATTTGTTTAAATGAAACAAAACTATTGAGAAAATAGCATAAAAATACAAACCATATGCTTGATAATTTACCTTGAGGCTCTGTACGAATTAATTTTGTATTTGTTGGGTATGTTTGTTGTGGATATTGAATATAAACAGGTGATGTATTTGATGGTTCTTGAATTACAGTTTTTGGTAGACGTACAACTTTAACAGGCGTTGTAACTTCTGTATTAGTTAAAGGACGAATTGTAGATGTAGCAGGATATATTTGACGTGGGATATTATTTTCAACCGGTCGATTATTATCAAAAAAAAAGCAGAATGTGGAGTTCTTGTTGGTTGAGCTACAGTTGATGAATTCCATGGAGGTTTTGAATTCGATTGATCTATATTTTTCATACTAGGTCGTTCATTAATAGGACCTGTTGTGATTGTTTCGATTGGTAATGAATTGTTAGGAACGTTATTTTGTGGACGTGATGGTGAAACTACATCAACACGACTTTGTCGTTCACGTACACGTTGTAATGATTGAAGAAGTGCAGCATTTGTCTGAATACATTGAATTTAAAAGATGAACATAATCAATACGAACAAAAAAAATACGACAAACTTACAGCTGGCGATGCTGTCATTGATGTTTTATAAAAAAACGATGACAATCATAGGCATATAATATAATATCAAAAGTGAAAAACTGTATATTATTTATAAGAAAAAAAAAGTCATTAGAAGAACAGCAGGATAGTGTAGATAGAGAATAAGTGGTTGATTTGTTTTAAATTTTATTTGAAGAAATAGCATAGAATGAATAAAAACACCGTATTTACAAAAAAACAAAATCATAAAATAAAAAATAGCTTTAAAAGAAGTTTAATGCAAAAAAAAGAATTAAGATGCTAAATTGAGAATCGTTATTCTAACTTCTATATTCAGACTTGAAAAGAATTCAAAATTCGAATACACGATTAAGAATATTTCAGAATTTTCTAAGATTTGATTTAATCATAATGAACAAAGAATTTCTTTCTGTACGATTCGTCTATCATCAAAATGTCAGAATCTGTTCTATAATTGCAAATGCTATGAAAATACTGTCTTTTATGTTATGTATCTGATTAATGATCAATATCCTATATATTGGACAAAATAGTACGATATGCATCTGTAATTATGAAAATATCTCATAGAAATCATTCCTTCAATCGAAGATACATATCAAAGTTCAACAAGTAAAACCTGATGAGAACATTGAAAAATAATTTTTCACTAGAGGACAGTCACATAATTATATTAATTAAATAATCAATAAATCACAAAACAAATATTGAATAAAACATATATATATATATGTAAATATTCAGTAAAAAAATCAATGATAATTTAATTAATATTTAATTTAATAAAAAAAATTGAAAAAAAATGTTTAAAATGATGAGTATTATCGATGATATATGACATTGATTATTTGATTCAGATCTTGTTTCCCTAGGCATAATATCTGCTAATGTTCGAGTTATCATTGTTGGTAATTGTTTATTACAATTATCTGTATAACAACAATGAGTCCTATGGTTTGGTATATTTAATTCTTCACAATCTTTAACTCCACGTAAAATTAATTTTTCTTCACCAGTTCTTGCATCAAAAGAATGATCACTCTAAATAAATGAAAATAAATATATATATATATATATGTCTTTCATTTATTCTATATTTATACTAGACACGCATGACCAACATCATAACCAGAAATTGCAACATTATTTTCATTACTTTCATCACCAGCGTCGAGGTCTAATGGTAAAGAACAGTAGTAGTCTGATCCAGCACATGTATAACACTGAATTGATGATGTATGTTCAATCAATCCTAAATAGAAAATAACTTGAGATCAATGAATACGAAAAATATTTTCTTACCAGAAAGAAAAAATATCATTATTATCATAATCATTATTTAACACTTGTTATCTTTCTTGAAAATGGTAAAATAGCAATTTTTCCTTGAATATATGTGAGAGAAATAATTTTTTTCTTCTGTTTCTTTTTTCATATAACCGAAGAAGAGGAAGAGGAAGAAGAAAAAGTATTATTTATTCTTTTGTTTTCCGATGTAGAATGCACTGTAACCTGTTTTATAAACATATATAACGATATGATCGGTCATAATTGAAGAAAATGTATATTTGCAAATAAGATCTATGTACTTTTTTCTTTTATTAGAGAATTATTTATTTAAATTTATTTAGAACAATAATCAAATTTTAAAAGTTTTTCTTTAATACAGGGAAAAAATTTTCTTTTTTCTCTTTTCTTTTAATAAGCATATTATAAGAAGGAAACAATATTTTAAGTGTTCGAGGTCTCATTGAATTTTTCTCTATAGTGCTAAATTTGACCAATAAGAAATACTCATTCCATATTTGTGCTACCTTTGAAGAATTCTAATGTCTATATTGATTAAAAAAAAATACATTATCATATTTTTCTAAAGTATATGCAGCAGTTTCATTAAAAACCAAAAAAAAAAATTAGTTGTGTTAGTAAATATAGAGATTGTTTTTTTTGTCCTTGTGCCATTTCATTCACAGATATATATCTTATTTTCTTTTCTCTTTTCCGTACTGATAAAGCAAATCTCTGACCTTTTGTTGTCGAGGATCAATATCATCAAGATTTTATAAAACATGATCGAAAAGGAATACTGAAGAATAGGAATAGAAATTTGAATCCTACACACATGATAGACGTCTTAGCAATGATTCTCATCTCTCACAGATTATAAACAGATACATAAATAGTCGCGATCAAAACCTATATTGCTGAGTTTTCTCTTTTACAATATCAGCAGCTTCAAGATGTTTCATATTTTAATCGCGCATAGATGTGACCTTTCTATATCGTTTATATGAAAGTTGACCGATCAACGTGTGAATACCAAGAGCAATTATCATAAAGAAGACGATTGTTCATAAACCTCTTTAATCAATATTCATCTAATGAATGTGTAATGAGAATAAGTTTTAACGGTCACAATTACAGAAAAAAGGAAGAACAGTTCAATACTTGGAAAAATTCTCTAATAATGCGCATTGATTTCTAAAAATGTTTTTTTTTTCATATACTAATATACTTTAATTTAAAAATTTTGACGGAAATGAAATTTGAAAAAATATTGTATCCTTGATTTTTGGTAGATTCTATAAGAAAAAGAAGTAGAGATCCTCGAGAGTATCTAATATCTGTAAAAATAAATTGTAGCTCATATTCTTTAATAAAGAGTTTGTAGATATAGATGACATATTAAATGTTGATCAACTTAATTGTTTGTTTTATGATCATTTAAATATAGAAATTTTTAATATGATAAATGATATTTTGAATAAAGAACTTTCATTAAATAAAAGAAAAGATAAAAAAAAAGAAAGAAAGGCTATCATTTGGACATAAATTCTTTTCGTTCTTTCGAATGCTCAAAGGTCAATAAAAATGTCATTTTCATCGTTCTACTCGAACGCACATATATGCATACAGGTTAACAAATGATAGTACATTGGTAAAGATGATTTTGAATACAATTGATTCCGATGCTCTTCGTCTTCAATCTCTTGGTTATAAACAAGAATTAAAACGAGATTTTACTCGTTTAACTAATTATGGAATATCATTGTCAGTTATTAGTATTACATCTGGTCTTACATCATTATTTTCATATGGTATGATAACAGGTGGTCCAGTTGTTATGATATGGGGATGGATTATTGTTTGTTTTTTTACACTTTTTGTTGTTTTTGGTATGGCAGAAATATGTTCAGCTTATCCAACATCCGGTGGTCTCTATTATTGGACAGGTATACTTGTACCACAACGACATAAAGCATTATCAAGTTGGTTTACTGGATGGTTTAATTTAATTGGGCAATTTTCTAGAACAGCTGCTATTGATTTTGGTCTTTCTATGTTGATAGCAAGTGTTATTTCATTAAGTTTAAATTCACAATGGTCACCTGAATCATATCATATTATTCTTATACATTTAGTAATTATAATAAGTCATGGAATATGTAATTCATTAGGCATACGTTTTCTTTCATATTTAACATATATATCAACATGGTGGCAATTTTTAGCACCGATTATTGTTTCATTAGCGCTTCTTATTGGTGCTAAACCAGGTCATCAATCAATTAAATTTGTTTTTACAGAATTTAAAAATGAAACTGGATGGACAAATAAAGTAAATTAATTTTCTTTTTTTCTTTGTTATTTTCTTTTCTTTTTTGAAAGATTTATGTTATTTTAATCGGTCTTTTACAAGCTCAATATGTTCTTACAGGGTATAATGCATCAGCTCATATGACCGAAGAAACTAAAGAAGCTGATAAAGCTAGTCCATGGGGTATGATTAGTGCTATATTAGTATCGACTATTATTGGATGGCTTTTTCTTATTGCATTTTTTTTTGGTATACATGATTATGAAGCTACAATAAGAACATCGACTGGCTTTCCAATAATACAAATTTTACTTGATAATTTTAATAAAGAATTAACATTATTTTTTATGTGTTTACTTTTAATGGCATGTTGGTTTTGTGGTTTAGCATCAATAACAACAAATTCAAGAATGATTTATGCTTTTAGTCGTGATAACGCTATGGTAATTAGATAGATGTATAGACAATTTCATTTGTTAGCGAGACGTCAACTTGAAGGAAGAAAGTTCTCGTTCTTTAGATATAATTTGTGTCGTAAAGTCTATCTTGAAGATTTCGAATTGTTTTTTCTCGTATGATTAGAGAGATATTACCAAATTACTCCTTAATTGATTAATTTAAATGTATAGTTTTTTTCTTTATTACAGCCTGGTTCTTGTTGGTGGCATACAATTCATCCTCGTCTATTATGTCCACTTAATGCTGTTTGGTTATCATGTTTTATTGCATTTCTTCTTGCACTTCCTTACCTAGGTAATACAACTGCTTTTGTGGCTATTACAAGTCTATCTACAATTTGTTTATATATATCATATATTCTACCTATTGTATGTAAACTTCTTTATCCGAATGCATTTCTTCGTGGTCCATTTCATCTTGGAATATTTTCAACATTTATTAATATAATTGCACTTCTTTGGGTTTGTCTTATTATTGTTCTTTTTGTTCTTCCGCCAATTTATCCAGTTACTGGTGTAACAATGAACTATGCATCAGTTGGTGTTGGAAGTGTAATTATATGTGCTGGAATTGCTTATTTTTTATCCGCAAAATATTGGTTTCAAGGACCAATTACTAATTTAACTTTCAATAAAGAAAAATCTGATTTTATTATGAAACATTTTTAAACATCCATAAAATAAAAGTGTACATCACCAAAATTTTGAATTTTCAACAATACCATAGTATTCAATATAATGATTGTTGTTTTTACTAACCATCTGTTTTATTTTCACATACTCCATCCATTCTAGGCTGATGCGAAAACATCTATATGATAAGCATTGCTTTTTTTTTTTTTATAAAAAACGAACCATCCCTATAAATAGAAAGAAAAATTATTACTTTTAAAGGAACCATTGAAAATCGATTGTACTGATTGAATACATGATTATGATGTTAGGTTTACTCTATATCTTAGCATGTTGTTTCGTGTCCATTCATGGTCATGGTTATCTATTAGATCCAGTAGCTCGTAGTTCAGCTTGGCTTGTCGATCAATCATTTAAACAATGTTGTACTTATCCTAATCATATGGAAATGTTTTGTGGTGGTACTCAACATCAATGGAATGTTCATGGTTGGTTAATTTTAGAATTTTGAATCATTTAGATCAAGTTTGTATCTATATCGTAGGAGGTAAATGTGGTATCTGTGGTGAATCATACGATAGACCAGTTAAAGTATTTGAAAAAGGCGGAGCTATGTATACAGGTAAAATGGTCAAGACATATAATCAAGGACAACAAATCGATGTAACTGTAGTTGTAAGTTTTCTTTTTTAACACATATAAAATTAAGCTTTTGAGTCTTATTTTGTAATAGTTAACAGCTAATCATAAAGGTTATTTTGAATTTCGTTTATGTAATTTGGATAATAATCCAAATTCTGATGCAACACAAGAATGTCTTGATCGTCGTCTATTGAAAATTGCTGGTACAGATTCAACTAAATTTCGTGATGTTGATAAATATGGTTCACAAGCAATTACTGTTCGTGTTCAACTTCCATCGGATGTTGCTTGTCGACATTGTGTTTTTCAATGGAAATATACAACAGGAAATAGTTGGGGTACAGATCCTGTAACGGGTCAATCAGGTCTTGGAATGGGCATTGAGAATGAAACATTTATGGGTTGTTCAGATATTTCGATTGTTAGTAATGGTTCACCTACTCAAACAGAACCACCTATAGTCGTACCAACAGAGTAAATTAAAAGTCATATGTTTCTATGTATACGAAGCAAAACAAAGTCCACTTTTATTTTAGAGGTCCGCCAACAACTGCTCGACCATCACCACCACCACAACCAACAACAACAAATGCTCCACCACCAAGTGGTTCAACTACTTGGTCATCTAATGGTGTTCAATATAAAACTGGTGATATAGTATTATATCAAGGCGCAAAGTTTCAATGTATCCATGATCATACATCGTTTCTAGGAGCTGAACCAGGCATTCTTACTTGGGCCTGGTGGAAACCTATAAACTAAATGTTGATCTTGTTATTGAAAAGAATTCTGTAAACAAGGAAATGTTTTTTCGGATATGAAAAAATCTATTCTAATAAATACAACAGTAAAATGAAGAAATTTTTTGTGGGTATGGGTATGAGCCTTCAGTTCAACCACATCCACACACACATTCAGTTGTGTGAAACAATCTCCGATTATTTGTTTATTTTCTAAATCGAAAACGCACACTTCATTATTTTGCAATTGACTTCTACGATGATAAAATTAACTTTATTCTAAAGTAAAAAAAAAGATTGATATATAGGCGGTTGTGGGTGAGTGGTGGTGTTAATTATTTATTATTGTTAGTAATTAAAAGGCCGAAAAATGAATAAGCGCTGGATATTAGATGACTTTTTTCAAAAATACACATATCGATGATGTTGTTCTTCAACATTCTATAGAGTAAAATTCGGTATGCAATCATAGTTAATTTAACAACTCTCTTCTCTTTAGTTTCATTGACATGTCAGGAAGTTTTATGTCTGAAGAGCTTCGTTCTTCAAATAATCATCACCAGTGTATTTACCTTCGGCAGCAAACATTTTAAAGCATTGTTGTAACTTGTATTTTCAGAAATAGTGCCAGTTGCATAGACGTAACCAGTGTTCAAAGACTTCAGCCTTAGTTAAATATTTTTCTTGGTGAAAAAGCAGAGAAAACACTTAGAAACTAGTCGTTATTTTAGGCGCTACTGAGGTGTATTGGTGTGGGTGTGAGTCATACCCATATCCTTGGATCGCTGTAAGTGATTAGTGGCTTGCTTTCTTCTCAGAAGTATGAAGTTCAAAGGCAAAATAAGTACTATCTATCATAATTCCGATTATGTGTAAGCAATTGAGATAAGCTGGTAGCTCTGGTCTACATTTTCCCAATTAAGAGGTTTGCATTAAAATGAAAAAAATGAGATCAGTCCATAGATAATTTCATGTTCTGTCAGTTTCTATAAAAAGACTTTTTTTCTTGGCGCTTATCTTTACTCACTTTGAGTGTTTTTGAATCTGAACTTGTAGAAAATATAACTTCCTTTAAAATAAGATGTTTTTCCAACTTTCTAGCCTCTAATTATACTCAAATATGATGGGATTTGAAACATTTCTTTTTTTTCGTCTGCTTTGCTTATTTTTAATAAAATCCAGTTTTGGAAATAACAATAAAAATATTTTTTATAGGTAAAAGCAGTTCATATCGCATTATTAACAACGATGAAAATAAAACCAACGGAAATTTCAGATATTGTTAATTCATACTTGTACCATTAGGTGATATATTAATGAAATATGTTTATATAGATTTTGAAAATCCAAAAGATTATTCAAGTAATGCTTTATTACTTTCTTTATGTATTTTGCTAAAATTTCTTGCAGCTACTGATTTCAGTTTGATTTTGCGTGTTCTCACTGATCGATGAGTATTTTTTTATAGATCAGCTATATTTGACTATTATGATCATCTTGATGTGCATATGAAAATGGTCTCTTACCTCGATGAAATTCTGTAAATTTATCTTTAATTTCTAGATAACATGGTATCAAAAAGTTCTGACATTATTACCAAAAAACCGTGGTTTTCATCTAGTAACAAACGAGATTGTACAACAAATATCTAAAGTATAACAAAATGGAATTGGTTTATTGAATTTATATATTCAACGTACAAGAGTATTATTATCGATTAATGAAAATGCTATGCCTGATGTACATGTTGATATGGAAATAATATTTAATAAATTTGTACCGAAAGATAATTCTTATGAACGTTCAAATGAAGGTAAAGATGATATACCAACAGATGCAAAATGTTCATTATTCGGTTCATTAATTACTAGGCTTATTACATCAAGACGTTTGATTATTGGTACTTGGGAAATTAAAAGTAATTTCGTCGAAAATTCAATGCGAGCAAACTGCAAATTTTTTTTGTTATTGTTGAGTTCTTTTTATAGATGACTGAAGTAGAAAATAAGATTAATCATTTAGTTGATGACCTATCGACAGAAGGGAATGGTACGAATGAAGAAACATGTGATAGTCAATTAGAAGAACTACATACACTTTTATGTTATCGTACAATATATTGAAGTGATTTTAAATTTTATGCTGACCGTCTTATACATTTAACCGTTCAAAAAAAAAGAATTATATGAATTCAATCTAAATTCGATGGTCTTGTTGTCAAGTTATCGAAGATTTATGAATACACGAAAATAAGAGTAAAGAAATTTTGAAATTATCTTTCTTTGAAAAAAAAATTAAAAAAAAAGATGAAGATACAAAACTAATTCAATAATATCTTTAATGCAGGGTGTGGGTATGAGTTTGAGAAAACTGAAGATACCCATCCAAACCACGTTCCACCCACAGTCTGCTCTTTTGTGTCTATTGAAACAATGATTTCTACTAAAGATCTATCGAACTGCAGAGAAATGAGTTTGCGATGTAAATGCTTTTCCTTTGTGCCCAAGTTCTACGAAACAAGAGACTTTGAAAACTTTTTAAGTTCTTGAACGTATTAAAGGATTAGCTTTTTTTGTAAAATAACATGAGGGTGTGGGGGTGGGGGTGGGGGTGGGTTGGGTGTGAGTATGAATGAAGGAAAGATTAACACCCACACCCATACCCAACATTGGTTTGTGTTATGTAATAAATTTTACGACTTCTTGGATGCACATATATAAATAAGAGAAGATCTTAGAAACTGCCGATGGACAGCGAATATCTTCGTCTGAATGTCTGTGAACGTACTTACCAAGAGTTTGAGTTTTTTTAAATGTACAGTGCAATCTGTAAGTCATTTGCTGTACACCGATCCTCTTTTTCCCAACTGAGAACAAGACGAAGTGAAATTTTTTTATTTGTATGTATTTCATCCGTCAAAATAGTATTGGATTGGTTCAAATAAAAACTAGTCGATTTCTAAGAAAAACACTTTTTTGCATTACCACGGCAACCAACACTGTTTTCTCTTATTTCTTTTCTTTCTTTAAAAATAACATGGTTGAATGTTGGCATTGATCAGAATTCTGGAATTCCCTATGATGAAGAACAACACATGCGTTGCAATGACAACGACAATAAATAAATAAAAATAAAACGCTCTTGTCTCATTCTCCTTGCAGTATAAAGATATTTTTTCTCCTCTTGTCTAGAAGAAAAAAATAAAATTTTTTCTCAGCGCAAGAGTGTTGAAGGGATGTCTATCGAATTGCTTAGTACGACTAACGTTCTACTATGTAAACTAGATGCATTTTTTCAGTGTATAGCAATATAGAGAGCAGAGAAACAACCGGTTTCATCGGTTATAGGTATAATACTGCATGATTAATGAAAGGAAGGCAATCATTCCATTAATTGATTGCTTCTTCTTCAAAAACAAACAACCACCACATACTGAATTATTTTTATCTGATGAATCTCTCTTGTGAAGTGCGAATGTATCCTGTAAGGATGTGCACTAGACGTGGATGTGGGAGCACTTTTCATCTTCATCATAGACCCACACTCCACACCCACACCCTAAGGGTACACAGTCCTTCTGAAAAGAACTGATAACTGTATTAGTTCCCAAACTGTCACAGGTTTAGTGGGGTGTGGGTTTCGGGTATGGGTGTTTTCCTTGTACCAGAAATAATCACATTCACACCCACTTCCGTTTAAGAAGTTCATTTATTCTTATGAATGGTTTATGAAATCGCTTACGAAGATTTTACAGACGGTAAAAAGGTATTTTTTTATAGACCGCAATTTCTTCAACTTTTCAAGTGTTTATAGTTCCAGTCTTTTTTTACAGTTCTATATGGGATCAAAATGCTCTGATGAATTCCATCGATGAATTTTAAGAGAAGCCTATCAGTTGCACAGCTTCCTCATTTTTCCACATCTTCTTTTCAAATCAAGTACACTGAAATGTATTTATTTCACTGCAATGTTTGACTAAGAGATGAAGGGAAGCACATTTTTTGTATCTTTTTTGGGTTCATCAAATAAGAAGGAACGATTGTTTTATTTGTTTTTAGATTCTTTTAAAGATGGGGAACGCAAATGATCGTATAACATTGGGTCAAATCATCGTCAGAAATCGTCTTAAACGCGATATAACCAACGTCTGAGTTAAATATGGAGCTGGAAACAAGGCACAAAATCATACCATCATTGGTATTGAATACTGGTTCAATTGGTCAACAATTGATTTAGAAAATAGAACACATATTATGTTTCTACACGAACAACTTATGGGTAATATAAATGCGCGGCAAGAAGTCATCAGAGAAGGATTTGATGCAAGCATATATTATCGTGGTTATTGGCAAATATACTTTGAAATCAATGGTATCCAATATAAAATCAACAAAAACAATGCACAAGTGAATGTTTATGCACTGGATAACCTTGGTGATATGGAAATAACATTGTTACAGGAAGGTGAATATATTAGAGCCGATTTTAAATTGCCATCTGGAAATGCGTATTTTTATGTGCAACAATAGACATTGTTCCGGTACACTGGATGTTTTTAATGCGAACAGTTCTTGAAACATTCGAGGAGTTTCCTTTTCTCTCAACAATTTGTATGTGAACATATAGGGCGTGGCTGTAGCTGTGGACCTGAGTGTGGCTGAAGACGAAAAAGACAACATGATCTAAACCCTTCTTCGTGTGATGAGCTTATACTCAATTCAGAAACGAAACGACAATAGTTTTTAATAAATCGACAGAAATATGGGCATATTACTGCCTGAAAAATAAGATATCTAATAAAAGTGAATGTGCTTGGTTCAAATCACGTGAACACATATAGGACTCGATAATAAAAACTAGTCTGAAAGAGCACCATATCTGTTTTTATAGCACTCATCAGTACCGATCTGTTCATCTGTTAGAAATAAATAAATTCATATTTCGTAACTAGAGGATTACTTTGAATATTTTCACCGTAATTAAAATATAGCTCGTTTCAGTTCTAAATCTTATGAAAACTTTTATGTGAAAGTTATCCGAAAAGAGTGTGAATGTGGGATTTGGGTGTGGGTCTTCTCTTCATTCACCTCCACACCCACCCACACACTCACACCTACACACATTCACCCACACCCACGTCCACTCACACACCCACACCCTCAGGGGAAAGCTTCAGTGGACAAACATGAGGGTGTGCGTGTGGGCGTACTTGGGTCCAACATTTACATCTACTCCCACACACCGAATGAACTAGTTCCATTGAGAGTAGCAGTTGCGCAAAGTGTCAAGTTCAACATCAAAAGTTAACTGTCAACAAAACCGAAATTAGATTGCGGAGTTTTGCTGAAAAATTCAATAAAAAAAAATCTATCGTATAGAAATCTGATAACTAAAAGAGGCTAAATAAGCATAGATAGTTAGCATCAAGTACAACGTAAAATTGCATGAAATACTAAACAACTGGTTACAGTAATTGTAGAGAATGCTTCTGTTTTTTTTACGTAATCGACACCTAGATCTTACGTTCAGCTTTTTCTTCGAAAAAAATATACATGAGGTTCATAAAATCTACTTGTTAACAAATTTATCATTTATTGTTGTAGATACTAGCCCTTTCTATAATGCATGTCGAAGTAATGATATTAGTTTAGTTAAAACATATTTGCAAACAATATCATTAGCAGAAATTAATAAATTAGAACCAAATGGCTCTACCGCACTTCATGTAGTATCGTTTCGTGGGCATTAGGAAATTGTTGAATTATTACTACGAAAAGGTGCTTGTTGTACAACAATAAATAAATTTAACTGTACTCCATTGGATGAAGGTAAAAGTGATAAAATAAGGCAGATGATCCGTCGTCGTATGAATAAAACTCGTTTTGTTAGTGAATCCATCGAATGGATTCTGCAGACAGATCAGGCAGATTTTAAAGCATATCAATATTCGACAAAATTGGAAACATATGGACAAGATCCACAATTTTATGAATTGATTGACTATATAAAAAGAAACTATCTTGAAAAAGATTTACAACGTATTGAAGATATTGACACAGTTGTAAAATATTTTAATCTCACAATCAACACAAGAGATCCCTTTTATTTATTACAAGCCTATACAGCTGAAACTGGTTTCTATTCTACGCTTAATGTTCATCTAACTCAATTACATCTAGAAAATTTAACTGATAAGGAAAATCTTAGTAAAATATATTATCTTGAAATAATTGCTCGTCATCCGAAATCCGAAACATTGTCGTATACAGGGAAAGCATATCGTGGTATGATGATCACTAATAATGATTTAAAACAATACAAGATAGGTACACGAATATTAACTAAAACATTTTCATCTTCTTAAGCAAAGGGATATAGCATCAAAATTTCTTGATGATGACCGTCATAAAGGTGATCAATTATGTACAATATGTGTGTATGAAATGCGTAATCAAAGAACTGCATTAGATATTCAAGATATATCATTATTTCCTTATGAAGAAGAAGTTTTAATTTTACCTTATTCAGCATTTAAAATAATTGATATTCGAATAGATAACGACAAATCACCTAACGTTGAAATAGAACTAAAAGAATGTGAGCCATGGTAAATGTTCACAATGATTAGAACTTAGATTTTACGATGATTTACTTCCTTATTATAACACGATAAATAAAATAAAATGAGAATAAATGAAAAAAAAACTACATTCATTCTATTGCGTTTGACAGAAATTACAAAATATAGTGTTGATTTGAGTCTGGGGTGTGGGTGTAGTAGTGCAAGTGCGTATCATCACAAGACATCCACACCATGTCTACGCGCACAGCCAGATACCCATATCCACATTCACCCTACCTCCTGTAATTCATAAAGTAAAGTTTATTTTAGCTGTTTGCTTTTTGTTTTCCAAGAGATCAAAACTTTGTACGACTAATTTTTGACGCTGCGAAAATATCATTGTTGTCTACACTGATGAGAAGTTTCCTTTTTTTCTTATTTTATCCTTTTATCACTTAATACATTTTCTTAAAAAAGACATACTATGCTCTCGAAAAAAAACATCCGTCTTCCGGAAAACTCTTAGAGGGTTTCCGATTTTGTTACTATCTGATGAGAATCTTATGGTGTGTGATAGTTTCAAGTTTCATTGACATGTTGTAGTGGCGAACAGTAGGATGCGAACGAACAAAGAAAATGCAAGCTACGAGTGGTAAAAGGAAAGAAAAAGAAATAAGAATAAGCCTAGAAAGACGATTTGCTTCTCTTGTACTGTATTTACACATACGAGTTAATCGAGCAAAGAAGTAATCGTATATTTTGTGAAAGGAAAAAAAATACATATCCACTTATATTTTTTTTGCTATTCTTTCTCATTTTCTTTTCTCCATTCTCTATACTGTTTCTCATTTGAGACGTGAAAGTAAGATCAGTAAACAATGACTGCATCTACAATATCGGGCAAATGTCTGTGTGGTCAAATATCTGTCTCTGTTTCACAAGATGCATTCAATAAAACTGAGAATATAGGTATATGTTATTGTAAAAATTGTCGTCAAAGTGGTGGCTGTCTAGCATCGTATAATCTCTATTTATCAGAAGGAGATGTTAAAATACAAGGTCAACCAAAATTATATAAAGATCCAAATACAGACAGTGGCACAACAGTAGAACGTGCATTCTGCAGTAATTGTGGTTCACCGGTATATGGAAAAAATCCACAATTTATCGGTTTAATAGCAGTGAGATTGGGTCTATTCGATCAATTACCAAAACCTGGTATGGCACTCTACTGTAAAAATCGTCCAGACTGGAATAAAGCAACAATTGATGGTATACAAGAACATGAAGCTATGCCAAAACTCACAGAAGATTTGAAAAAGTGGTTGCAAGAAAAGGGTGTATCTATTTAGTCTATAATTTACAAGTTCAATTTCCAAAGTAGGGTGTCGGTGTAGGTGTGTATGGAGAGATAACATACTCATACCCTTCAAATAAATAAAATTATTCTAAATCATTATTGAACTTAAAATAACTTTTATTAGAAGAAGAATGACTATGTTGAAATTGTTAATATGTATTCTTTGATTGATAAAAATTTGTTAATCTATTATCTATTTTCTACGAAATATAATTAACAAATTTCATAGATGTTTTATGAAAATAATTAAATTTTCATTCCAAAAAAAAGATAATTTTCTTTTAAACTTGAACAAACTTTTGAACAAAGTATATGTTTTTTTTTTATTGCAAATGATTAACAAGTGAATCTTGTTCATGAAGTAAAAGTCTTCACACATATCTATAACACTAAGAGATTGATCAACAAAAAAAGGTCTTCTCTCTCGCTGTACTTTTATTTATGATTATGAAATCATTTTTCACATTCTTTTTCGATTAACATTAACATATCTATTGTTGAAGATAACAATTCAATATAACCAATAATATTTTGATTGATTTTTATCTTTCTCAATAGGTTTTCATGAAAGAAAAACAAATTTCTCTTTTTTCTCAAATGAGTTCGTGTAAAAACAAATAGTAAGTAGGATTAATTGAAAGACTTTTCTAATTTAATATATAATAAATATAATAATTATTTCCTATATTCACAATAAGAACTTAATTTCAGTTCGACAATACATATAAGTCTTTAAATAAAAAGTGAATGTATAATGAAGTCTTTTCTTTCATTTAAACACAATGAATAATAAAATTTTAATCAAAAAAATAAAATGATCATTTCATTAATATATACATATATATAATACTTATAGTTAGCTAATTTATGGAAAAAAGAACAACAGACAGCTCATACAATGATATTCATCCTTGGATATGTTTTTCATGACAATCAAATTCTGCACTATAAAATTCATTCTTGAGTCCTGCTAACTTTAATCAAGAACGGTGTTTAAGTTTTCGACCTAAAACTAATAACTAATGTGCGTCCGAGAACAAACAAAACAAGATATTGCTATATTTTCAATAACTTGACAATAGAAACAGTTGCAAAAGGCGAGCTCTATCAAATATCTTTTTATTTGATACTATGTACTATAAGATGATTTTAAAAACAGATCGTTTTCGTAAAAGATTGAAAAACATACAAAAAAAACGATGTTTCATTTTGATGTAATGATAAAATAATTTTCTTGTCGTTGAATAATTTTCAATTTCTTATTTGATTTCAACAAAGAAATAATTTCATATTGTCTTGTTGATAAAAAATTTTAATGTTTATTTTATATATGTTTCATTCAGATCGATCTACAATGAAATGAAGACATGTTGATTCGCCATGACGATATATACATATTGTACATTCTGAAAAAAAAAACTATCTTTGCTTATATAAATATTAGAAACAAAATAGGTTAGTCAAATTTAGCATACGAAACATCAAATATGAGCAGTACTAGACAGAAATATTTTCCAAATGATTTTACAAAATTATTAGATAGTAGTAAGAAATGTAAAAACATCTGAAAGACATTTAAAAAATTTACATAAGAACAAAAATTAATGAAATTAATAATGCTTATGAAAATATGCTACTAATCGGTGTTTTCGGATTGTTACAATAGTCTGTTTGATTGTACGAATAAAAAGTAGACTGAATCGTGACTGAATGTCATTCAATCAAGTCATACAAGATGCTATTTGTGAAAGAACATCATAAAGAGGATTCTCACGGTTTAGTTGAAATTGCACCACTTTAATACTAATGTTAAAAGAAAAGTCAACAGTTAAGAGAATTTTGTTTTTTTTAGGTGTGGTCCGAATTCGTTTTTGAAACATCCATCAATGATAGATACTTGATTAATGATAAAATACAATACAATAGTCATTTACACTTTAGTTCGTTGTTGTTTAAGTTTTCTTATGAAAAGAAATTATTTAACCAACTTATATTTCTATTATAGATGAAATCCTGAATTTCAATTTAACATTATTTCATATGTGATGTATTTATCATGTTTTTTTCTGATATTAAAATAATTTAGACGATAAAAGAAATGTTGCTAAAACCATAAGACAAATATTTCTCATGTGATCTTTTAAAATGAAACAATGTTCAAGTTTGAAAGCATGATTGTTGTTCATTTTTGACAATAAATAGATTTAAAAAAAAAGGATTTTCATAAAGGATGTGAATGAAAAGACAACAAATCATCACATTCACAATATTTTTTTCATTTTTCCTTATTTGAAATTCCATTTCAAAAAGAATAGAGACTTCAAATAGAAAAAGTAACTATAGCTTCTATTAATAGACGATGAAAACTGTTATAGACAATTATAGTTTTTTTTTTTGATGATTTTTCACTAGAGAAAGGAATATATGCAGAGTTCAAGGGAAAGATTTTCTCTATCGAGTAATGCATGCATTATTAGATAAGGAGCGTCTTTTTTTTTACAATCCAACGTGTTCATCGTTCCATAGTCAAAGTATTGTAGTCACCTTCTCTTATTCAATTATCTATTTTTTTATGATTTAAAAACAAACATAAAATCGAAGTTGACCAAGCTTGTTATTACTAAAAGATCAATTTCAAAATGTTCAAAGTAGCAGATTATTTGCGAAAGAGATTGTCTCATCGTTTGATAATGTTCTCGACAAATAATACTTCAACAAGTATTATTTTCGTCTTATCTTGTATTTAAATTTCATTCTCATAAATGTATTTCATATCTTATGATTCAATCTTCGAATACATTAAATAATGATTTCATAATATTGAATATTACGACCAGTATGTTATTCGTCATCGATTGAAATTGATATCACACTTGATTTTGAATGTATACGTCGTTATACGCAAATATTATGTGATATCAAATGTTAATGTTTAATAGGATTATTTATACAAAATGATTTGGTCCTACATTCAAAGCATTTGATCGTTTGATTCAATGATTGTCAACATGTTAAATCTTTTCGTTTTATTTTCATTTTGTCTAATATCAATTAATGGTCATGGTTATTTATTTGAACCAGTTGCACGTAGTTCAGCTTGGCTTGTTGATCCATCATTTAAAAAATGTTGTACTTATTCTGGTCATATGGAAATGTTTTGTGGTGGTGTTGGACATCAATGGAATACGAATGGTTAGTAACTTCTTTTTTTTGTTTTTATTATGACAATTTGAATCTTCTATATAGGAGGTAAATGTGGTATCTGTGGTGAACCATATGATAGAGCAGTTAAATTATTTGAAAAAGGTGGAGCGATGTATACAGGTAAAATCGTACAAACATATATTCAAGGGCAACAAATTGATGTTAAAGTCAAAGTAAATAATAAAAATTAATACAAAAAATTTATTTAATTATTTTTCTTGTAGTTATCGGCAAATCA